GATGAATCTACTTTTTAATTTGAATGAATTGTAGTGTGAACTTAAACAGCCTCCTGTGGCTAGTGGCAACCTTTCTGAAGGCTTCTGCTTCCACCCTGCTATGAAAACACTCATGGGCTAGCCGTCTACGTGAATCAAGGGGAACGGAAAATTTGAAGAGCTACATGAAACAGCATCTCAAGGAAGTTCTCTGGTGCTGAGTAGAAGGGTGTTCATTGCACTGTTTAACTTTCCTATATCTTTGAAAATTCTCAAAATAAAAATTGGTAGGAAAAAAAAATCCTGCCACAAATTAAAGCCCAGTTATAAATGGATTTACGAGCAGGGATCTTGAGGTATGAGCTCCAGCTGTTTTAATTCAGCCAGTTCAGACGAGTGGTAGGGCTGATGAGGAGGGCCCAGTGCACGAGAAACCAGGAGACGGATGTGGAGAGAGAAAACCTGAAGACTTTTGAGGTGGGGAAAAAAAATCTCCTCAGTCGTCAGCAGGTAAACAGAATCCCCGCCTCCAAGCATTCCTCAGAATGGGCGGGCTCCTTCCCGAAAGAGATGCAAGCCGGGGTGGAGGGAATGTCACGGGCGGCAGTGTGAAGGATACTCTGATGGGCTTCTGGCTTAATTCCTCACAGATGAAGAAGTCAGGCTGGCAGAGCAAGAGGTATATAGGGAAACACATTGGAGCCACAAGCTGGGAAGAGGCAGTCTCGCGGAGCAGGGGCATCATACAGGGACTGGTAGCCACAGATTTTGAAATGGACGCAGGGAAGGGAGAGAACAATAGAAAGGACAGAGAAAGAACTACATTTGCCGCACCCAAAGAAGATCGTGCTAGACCATAACATCCTGCAGAACCTCTAGCCTACGGGGCAGGCACAAGGTCTCTCTTCACTCCTTTATTTCTGCAGACGCAACACTTGGCATTAGCATGCATTGCCTCAAAGAAGTATTGGTGACTATTTGGAAACACTGCCCGAAACAAAGTTTTTGAGAATCAGACACCTAGAAAGCTAAAGCCTGATTCTTCTCAACCTTATGATAAAAATTAGAACAAAGCTCTGGTTATGACACATCCAGAAATAACAGTGTCTAGGATAATGTGCAGTGTGCATTTGATGTCAAGGAAGATTTTTCAGACATGAACTTGGACCTAAGTGAGTAAAATCTAAACTAATGTACTGTCTTACCTTAACATCACACCAGGTAGACAGGGAGTGATCACAATTCTTTATTGTTATTCCATCAACTAAAGAAAGATTCTTTAAAGTAGTGGAAAGAAAGACAGATGGCATCTTATCAAGATATTCTGTATAGCATGGTTGTAAACATTTAAATAATTCATTATTATATTTCAAATACCACACTCTTTTGAAATGTATTTGTTTTCTCTCTTTTGCATAGATGAAATGTCAAGATGTCAAGAAAATCAAGAAAAAAATTACTCCTGGTCAGTCTCTGTCACAGTATGTGAGTAGAAACATTCTCTACATCTGATAGTTCAGGTGAGGAAGTAGCAAATTTCCTGGTATCAGATGTTCTTAGCCACCAGACAGCTGAAATGCTCAGTTATTTTTAAAGAAAAAGTATCATCCAGTGGCCTAAAAGGAGTTAATTGTAGGAACCGAGGGGAAGGAGTCCCTTGACTATAACAAGTGATATGAATTTCACTTTATTCTTGATATGCTAATCCTTACAGCTGGGCAAAGACCACTCAGTTTAGCCCATTTATTGCACTTAATACAGCTATTAAAGCTGCTAATTTATTCATTTCCTTTTGTGAAAATTTATTTAATGTCTATCTACCTTTACTAGACTTTAAATTCCAGGAGGAGAAGACAAGGATTTTATTCTCTGCCATCGGCACTCATTAAACATTTGGTAAATGAATGAATGATTAAATAACACATTGTTAGAACTCAGATCACTTCCTCAACTTTCTCCATAGTGTCATTTAGTAAAAGGAATAAGAGAGGTAAGTGACAATTATCATCTTCTCCCTAATTTACTTAAATGAATAAAACTGGAGCATTTTAAAGGGATGAGTTATGAAAACCGTCTAATTTTTTGCATCAGCCGACACCATGCTTCATACACAATTCAAATGTACATTTGTAATGTCTTATTTGGAAAAGAAAAGAGGACCAGATAGCATGTGGAAGGCTGGATCGCAGAAAGTTAGCTTGATTGTCTGTTTTTTTAATAATGATCCTCAGATATTTTCTTCCAGATGAACTCTTCCCTTGAAACCAAAAGCATACAGTTTAAAATTATATTCTCTGCTGAGCACTTTGGCATGTGGTATTCTGTTGCACGCTAAATACAGATTAAACTACAGGCTTTGAAAATCAGACCAGCAGGTGTTACCGGTTGTCCATCACCACAAACATTTAGCTTGACTATGAATGTTGGAAACAAACGAAAAACCCACTCTTCATGAAAATAATATATGCCTCTTTGGGTAGAATGCTCTTTTAAGGGAAACCAGTGAGAAATACTGCCTAGCACTGCAGCCTGTGACAGTAGTCACCCTTCCCCTCAAGATCGTCATTACTAAACCACTGGCATGAAAAAAGGTTCAGGTTCGTTGCTGCTTAACAAACTTAAAATCTGATTTAAGGCAACTATGAATCATAGTAACTAAAGTAAGATAACTAGAACTAGGATTGAAAATTGGAATCCATGTTAAGAGTTTACAAAGATCATTTAAACCTCACATCTTCACCACTGTTTTAAAAATATTTAAGAAGAAATAGGAAACCTCTTAGTTCATTACATTTCAATTTAATTCACTAAATAACTGAAGAGATCTATGAGCAACTGGTAAGTTACCTGATCAGTACAAAAATAAACGTTTTCGTAGGAATTAATTTTATTCTCAGTTTAAAATCAGCAGTATTTTTTTAACTGGAAAAAATGTTTACTTCATTTGTTCCTCCCATTATGAGGGCTGGGTGAAAATAGGACTAATTTAACGTGCTTTTTATCAACAGACACGGGATTGCAGCAACGCCTTCTAAAATGGGCCCGAGAAGCTCAGCCCTTTCTGCTGAGAACTTTTCTGCGCCACCTTGTGGCCATAATGCAAGTACTACACGTGAAAGTTAAAGGCTTTTTCCTGAGCTGGTCAGGCCTTCAAATAGCCGCATTGCGGGAACCTGCCTCTACACAAACTTGTGGAAAATGGTGTCCTTCTTTGTAGCTACTGATGGGAAACAGACTTGTCCGTTTTCCTACATCCTCCCCATTTCCTTCATTCTTTAATTCCTTCTCCTTGGGCCAGCCCACGCACCATCCCCCTACAGTTGTTTCCCTGTTAGACCTCCTCTGCCTTCCCCATCATTCGGTCGGTCGCCCCTTTTCCCTGTCGCCGCCCGCCCTCCGGGTTCCCGCCCTCACCTGGACCCCGCAATCCCAGCGGCGGGGGCCCGCCCCCTCCAGCCGGCAGCCAATGGCTGCGCGGCCCCGCCCCTCCCGTCCCTCCCCGCCCCTCCCGCCGCGTCCCGAGCGGATTTGGGCCTGGGCAGCGCGGCCCGGCCCCCTGGCGTTTCGGCTGGGCTGGGGCGGTAGAACCTTCCGGAGGCCCGGGGCCGCGTCTCGGGGCAGCCATGGACTCGCAGGCGCTGAAGGTGAGCCGGCGGGACCTGGCCCTGTGTGGTTTTGCGGGTGGTGAGGGGCTGGGGGGCTTGGGGCGCGCGGGCCGCCTTGGCGAGGCCGCGGCTACCCTGCGGCGCCCCCGCCTCGCGGGCGGGCCTGTAAGCTCCACCACCGGCTCTCCCGCCGCGGGCTCTGGACTCTGGAGATCGGGGGCAGCCTTCCCCGCGCGCTGCTTTCTGAATTGCCGTTAGTGTGCTTGTCCCACCCTGTGTGTTGTGTTTGCTTTTACTTTTGTACTCTGTTTGCTCGGAAGAGTTGGTCAACATATGACTCCTAGTGCGCCTCCTGGGTGCGGTTTTGAAGGACTTAGAGCAAACTAGTGCCAGCTCGCCCGCGGGACGGTAAAAAGCACAGATTGTATGGAACCAATTAAAGACGTAGGGCTTGAAAATGGAGGCGTCTTTATTTTAGGGTGGTGGTCGTCCTTATTTATCACTGATCCATCCATTCAGCAAATATTGAAAGACGGGCCAGTTAAGAAATGATATGAAAACAAAGACATGAGGCTTCAGAATAAGTTACTTTGGAGCATGATGGCTTCTCCATTTGTTCACTGATTTACTTGTTCAGCACATAATGATAGAGGGCTCACTGGGTGTCCACTGGAGCTGGAGATAGTGGTTCACAGAGCGGAGCAGTCCTCGCCTTCACAGATTTTATAGCCTAATGATGGAGAAAATCTTTTAAATTAATTTAGCAGATGTTTCTTGAATGCCCTGTGTGTCTGGCTTTATTCTGAGCCCTGCAGTAATAAAGCTAAGAAAACCCCTTCCAAACCTTCCTACATTTGTGGAGGGAGAGTTAGTCAGTAAACAAATCAATAACACGTGTACCATGTTGGTGATGAGTGGATGGTGGACAATTTGGCCATGATAAGGAGTGATGGAGTGTCTTTTGCTTTTTTGCCTAAAGTTTTTTTTTTAACATCTTCCTGTGAAGCCTTCCCCTAAACTCAAGTATTTTTATTACCTTAAATTTATCTTTTTACTGCCACCCAAGTTAACGTTTTATTAAAAACACTTTCATGCTAAAAACTTGTTTAGCTCCACATCACTTAGACTAGAGGAGCAGCTAAATCTGAGGCGCGTCTTGACCCTGGCGTTCTCTCCAACCTCTTGTCTGGTGCTTCCTGTTGTGCTTCAGGCTCTGCAACAGGGAATGGCAAGCTTTGTCTGTAAAGGGCCAGGTAGTAGGTGTTTCAGGCTTTGTTGGCCCTAAGGTCTGTGTGGCTTCTTGTCTGCCATGGTAGCGTATAAGCAGCAAGCAAATGAGCTTGGCTTTGTTTCAGTAAAACTTATGGACACTGAAATTTGAATTTCATATAATTTTCACGTGTTATGATATAGTTTTCTTTTGTTTTTTTCCTCAACATTGCATTTGAACATGTACAAACTGTTCTTAACTTGCTGACCTATATAAAAACAGGCAACAGGCCGAATACGGCCCGGAGCCCACAGTGTGCCAGTCCTGCTCCTGCCTGTAGGGTGGCTTGGTCCTCTCCATCCCGACCCCATCCCTGTGTATCACTGCTCATTTCTCACCTCTGCCTGGCTAACTCCTGTGCCTTGGGAATCATGAAAGGGGAGCAAGAAGAGTGTGTGGGTGTGTGTGCAAATCCAGTCTGAAGTCCTCCCCAGGAATCTTTCCCTTCATTTTACTGTTTGAGCCTCCCATATCCTAGCCTCATTCTCCTACATTCCCACAGTCGTTTATAAGCTCTTTTCTTGCATTTACTACATTGTATTTCAGATAGTCTTTAGATTCTTGTCTCGGTTGAAAATTTTAAGCTATTTGGGGACAAGAACCATATCCTAATCATTCATATTCATAGTACCTAGCACAGTGCCTGGCACTCGTGGGCAGTCAGTAACTATTTCCTGGACTGAACAAGTAACCTGAGCCAGGACCGTGGTCAGAGGTGCAGGGAGTGGGAAGTAGACCAGGGAAACAGGAAGGACCTCCTGACAGGTTGGAGTTGGGGGACTGTGCAAGTGGGAAGAGAGGATTCCCGACTCCATGTCTGGCTTGGGTGGTGGGGAAAATGCAAGTAGGAATCTGGACCTGCGATGAGTGATCTTGGTTTTTTTATGTCATCAACATACGAGATTTGGAGGAACTCTTTTTTTATTTCAGAATAGAGGCTTTACCGTATGATCTCCTAATTAATCCTCACAATCATCTGTAAATGACTAACAGCGTTTTACAGATGAGCAAACAGGTGCTGTGAGAGGGACCAGAAATTTGAAACCAGGTCTTTTCACCTGTAAGTCCATGTCGTTTTTGTGATAACATGCCGCTGCCTTTCAGGAGAGTTACAGCTGCTTGGTGATGCTAAACGCTGTACAGAAGGCAAGTAAGATATTAAAAGTGTCCTTAGTTGTGGCAAACTAAGAGGTCATTTGCAACCTTAGGGAAGAGACTCTGGAGGAAAACTGCACTTTACTGAGGTGTGCCGTGGGGGTCTTGGAATTGGTGTCCAGATCATGCTTTGCAGAAACAGGCAGAGAAGGGAATGGAGAAGAGTAACCATAGGAAGGAAACAGTAAAAGTTAGAGGACGATTGCCTAATTGTACCAGAGAAGCATGTGGACTGGAGCTTTCCAGAAACAATAGACTGTTTAAAAAAAAAAAAAAGTTGTCTAGACACTCATTTTTTCTTACTCAATTCAACAAGTATTCATTGAGCATTGATGGACCACTGTCCTGGGCACAGATGGTTGGACTTAACATTTCTCTGCTCTTTACTGACGTAGAGCATCTTTTTATAAACTTACTGGCTATTTTATAACTTTTTCTGAATATTTAGGTTTTTTTTTCTTTTTTTGACCGACCAATTGACCTTTTTTTTTTTCTATCGAAGTACAGTTGATTTACAATCTGTAGTTTCTGGTATACAGCAGAGTAGACACTCATTTTAATCCTGTCAATCAATGCTTCATCTGCATTTCTGACTTCTGCCAAATGAGCTGTAGAGTCAGACTAGGTAGGTGTGGGGTGGCCCGTATTGGTTTATGGAGATGAATCAGGTGTATCACATTGATGGTGAATATGTTCCCTCTTTGATTAGCAGCTAAGCCTTAGCTGTGATCCTGAGGGAACTGGTGTAAGCCATAGACCCAATTAAACCAGAACTAAGATCTCCTGATAGTAGTTTTCTGCCTTGTAAACCAAAATGATACAATTTTGAAAAAAAGCTTAAAGATAGTGATTTCCATTAAAAAATAGTTTAGATCATTTTTAACTGACAATTATTTGTTGTAGAACTCAGAAAACAAGATAACATTTGACAATAAACTGCTGAGTTTAATTTGGCATTACTTTGAGGTGCTATAGAAACAAAATAGAGGCAAGGGTTTTCTAAAAGAACCTGTAGTCTGACAATGGAAGATGGAATGGAGTAATGGAAAAAATTTTTTTTAATTCTTGCTTTTTTGTCTGTTTTCCCATTTTCTAAAACCTTTTTAAGAAAGTGGGCAAAGGAAAGTGGTAGAAAGTAGCCCGATTTCAGTAATGTTAACAGATATGGGGGGAAGAATGTAGCTCAAGCACTAGAGCTCATGCTTAGCATGCACAAGGTCCTGCGTTCATTCCCCAGGACCTCTTCTAAAAATAAGTAAATAAATATACCTAATTACCTCTTCCCCCCAAAGATAGATAAGCAAATTAATTAAAAAACAGTAAGATTAACAAATAGATTAGAAAAAAGATTGAAATTATTAGAAAACATTGAGTTATTTCAGTCACATTGTGTTCTACATTCCTTAGTATTAAGTGCTAGCCTTTAACAATATTTTAAAGAACTTGGAAGAAAAAAAAATACATCAGCTAAGTTTTAGATTGCACGAGATCTTAGGTTAATATCTGCTTCTTAGACTATTTCAGGACACCAGAATTTCTTTTAATATTTAGTCTTTATTTCCTTTCAGACTTTGATTAATTACTATTGTCAAGAGAGATATTTCCATCATGTGTTACTTGTTGCCAGTGAAGGAATTAAGAGGTATGGCAGTGACCCAGTCTTCAGGTTTTATCACGCCTATGGGACATTAATGGAAGGTATGTGCTAATTATCAAACATGTTCTGTAAGTTTTAAATTTTTGTTTTGCACTAAGAAGAATTTTTCACTTCATGATTTTGATTTTTAGGTAAAACTCAAGAAGCTCTTCGAGAATTTGAGGCCATTAAAAATAAACAGGATGTATCACTTTGTTCTCTAATTGCACTGATACATGCTCACAAAATGAGTCCCAATCCAGGTATAGTATTTAAGTACAATGCTTAGTTTTTTCTACTCAATTCATTTTGACTTTTTTTCTAATTACCACAGCATTCAATCTGATCATACTGTATTGTATTTTGTCTGTAGGTACTATTTATATCATATTTCTTTTATCTTCCTGACCAGATTATAAGTTTATCAGACAAGAAATACTGCTTTCATGTTCCTTATATCCTGTGGCAGTTTCATTAGTATATAGGGATTATTTGAATTGACAAAAAGGTGAATGTTTGTTAACAAAGGTTAAACTAAAATAAGGACAGCTCAAAACAGGTATGTACATAAAATGCCCAGTAGCAGCCAGATTTACCACTTACATGCAAATATATAGAACGCTACGTGCAGTTTCTCTCTACTGCTGTGTCTTAAGCTTCTTGAAAGCCTTTACATCAGAGGGGTTAGCTCCTGGAAGATATTCAGTAAATTTGTATCCAGTAGTAGACTGGGAAATATGGCTAGATTATAGAAGGAACTTTATGCATAAACCAGCAATTAAAATTGTGTGAACTGTCTTAATGTTTAGTGTATCTTAATGGCTGTATATGTCCAGTAACAGCTAATAGCACTGTAAATATAAATCCTGTTTCAAATAATTAGGCAATTACTAAGTGTCATAGAATTTTTTTTTAATATTGGAAACAGTTTTTTTCTTAAGCAAAGTATCACTTACCTCCTTCACCCATGTATACTTGCACACATCAAAAAAAGTTATTTAAAACGTTAAATGTGTTTAGCAAATAAATCTAACAGCTGCCTGCTTTCTGCAAGGGACTGTGTCAGATATAGTTGGATACAAAAGAGAATACAAAAGAGTTGTATGAAGTAATCTGTGACATCAAGTTTATAATCTAGTTGAGAAAAGAAAATGTCACATCCACAAAGATTAAATTCTAATGTTACTACTCAGTAAAATGATAGAAAATAAAACAAATGAATCCATAATTAATTGAAAGTGGTGTGTGTACTATTTATCCATAGGAGTAGGCTGGGAAGGCATTGTGGAAAGTGGAGACCCAATCTTGTCTTTTAAGGACAGCTGGAGTATGAAGCATATTTGTCAGACAGGAGAACTTGGTGGGCAGCTACATGGAAATGGTTCAGGATGAGGCTCCTCTCTATCCCCTTTCTCTGTGTTCCAGCAGGAGTGTGTTAGCCGGAGCAGAGAATTTGTATAGGAAAGCTGTAGTCAGTAAATCTTTAAATAATAATAGTAATATTACTAAATATTTTCTTCCTAGAATCAAGCTTTCATTTGATTATTCTTGAGAGAATCGATTCTGCTGGAAAATGGGATTTCCAGGACACTGAAAATACGGAGACAGAACTCTTGTTTAGAGACACCTGAGTACTCGCTCTGCCTTTCTCCATAGGGGGTGCTGAGTGGTTTTGAGCTCAGGAAGGGGCAAGGCGTCCTGCAGTATTGCTTGGGGAGGGCCTAGATTTTTCATGTACATTCTTCCTGAATGCTGATATAAGTCCTGATTATAAAAGGGCTGTGATGCATTGAGAATATCGAGCTGATATCTTCCGGCAAGAGCTAGCTTTGCAGAGGGTATCACCACTGACTGTTGCCCTACGAGGGACTTGATGGAGCTCTGGGCAGGAAGGTACAGTGCCTGTTCCTGTCCTGATGAGTTCTGTTTCTCTCTCAGGACTATTTCATGAAAACTTCTGAAGATATTCAAGTAGGTGTATTGAGAGCAGGGCAGACGGAATTTTCTTGCCAAGCAATCTGTAGCTCTCCAGAAACAATTTTGTTTCCTAAACTCTTGAAAGTTGTCCCTTAGTAATTCCACATTAAGTTTAAATATGTATTTTTAGAGTTAAAAGGAAGAGTCACATACCTTTCCTTGGTAGCCAATTCCAGAAGGGTATTCTGTCAGAATCTCGGCCCTCAACTTTGATGTTTCTTTTTCCTTATTGCATAGCTGATCCACATTCTGATTCAATCCAGGATTTGAATCTAATTGACACTTGTGCCCTAAGCACATATTTAACAGATTAAATAGAGTGATGAGGGTTATTAGAAGCAGACCATCTTTTTAAGGGAGCCATTGAGCAGTCAGTATTAAACTGTGTAAGTAACAATACTTGTATTACCATTCACTGGCCCATGAAAGCAGCCTGATATGTTTATATATTTAAGAATTGAATTGGGTGATTTCACTAGTATTCCTGGATTTTCCCCTATATAATTGTATCATTTTAGATTCATTGCTAAGTTTTTCAAGTCTTATTTTTTTTTAAAAAATTGCATATATATAGCCTTCCTGCCTCTAGAATGACATAAACTATACAACTGGAGCATGTGTTACAGTGGTCGTTAAACATGTTAGCGCTTGAAATGCGTCTTGTTTGACCTTATAAATTCAATTCTAATTAATTTACTTTTAAATTTAAAGCTGACTCTTGATTCGTTTATTAGGTATGTTTAGAACAAGTATATGATTCCACTTTTTTAATTATAAAATTTATGAAATATAAGTGCACATCAAATTTCTGAAGGAAATTTAGCACTTTAATTGAGCTGTGCTTTGTGTAAAACACATACCAGCTTTTAACTAGTAAGAAAAAAAGTATGTCATTAATAATTTTCACATCAATTATGTGTTGAAGTGATAATTTGTATATATTGGGTCAAGTAAAGCATATCATTATAATCAGTTTTCCTTGTTACCTTTTATTTTTTTGATAAAGTTGCTGGGAAATTTTAAATCACATGTGGCTTGCTTTTTATTTCTATTAGGCAGTGCTGCTGCAGAGAGAACTGTATTCTCTGCTGTGAACCATCTGACCTGTTAAAAACTCTTGATCTAGAATTTAGTTTTTATTTAATGACTTTTTATTCCTCTCTCAGATAGAGAAGCTATTCTGGAATCAGATGCCATTATGAAGGAGCAGCGTAAAGGAGCTGGCCCAAAAGCTTTGTACCATGCAGGCTTATTTTTATGGCACATTGGTCGTCACGATAAGGCGAGAGAATATGTTGACCGAATGATCAAAATGTCAAACGGCAGTAAAGAGGTAGATGGTTTTCTTATTTTGAAATAATAACATTAAAAGAAGCTTGTGTTATTTACATATTCAGTAGTATCTGCCTTTAAACCTCAGAGGAAACTTTTGTTACTTACAGATCCAGTAGTAGTCTTTGCTCTCGCCCCCTCTATTCATACTTTATAAATAACAGCTTTATTTTAATATTTTATAATTTGATAAAGTTGTGGTTCCCTACGGTTGTTTATTTTCATGCTCTTTATTAGCTCTTGACAAGATCCCTCCCCAACTCCTCCCCTCCTTTCCTTCCTCCTTCTTTCCCTCCCACTCTCCTTATCAGACTGCTGTAGACACAGGGCACCATTATTTTATTCTGTTATTATTAGTGATAGAAAAATGAGGAATAGCGTAATGTTACTTTCATGGGTGGATCATCTAGCAGTGTTACAGGGCACATACCCGGCTAATACTGTGAGAAAACTGACAAATAACATGAGAGAAATGTGATGAAAATGCATGGGAAGTAAGTTATCACTGATTACTCTTTGTGCTAAGCACCAATGTCAGTACTCAAGGAGAGATCACATCTCTGAATGTTAGAATGAGGAAGGATTTCTTGAAGGAAATAGCATTTGAACCCAAACCTGAAAGGTGGGTACAGTTTCGACAAGCAAAGATTATGGAAAAGGGAAGTAGATACTCCCAAAGTGGGAAATGAGGAAAATCTGGAGGCATGTTGCTTGTAGGGATAGTGAGAACCTCGTGTTTGATGGGAACTCGGGGTACCCAGATGAAGAAGGTGGAAGAAAAGCTTCTAGAGGTCAGTAAAACCTTTTTGTTGTTGTTGCTTTTTGGTTTATTTATTTTTTAATTGAAGTATACTTGGTTTACAGTGTTGTTAACTTTTGGTGTACAGCATAGTGATTCAGTTGCACAAATATACATTCCTTTTCATATTCTTTTTCATTGTATAAAGGTTTTTAATCATGTCAGTGATATCATTAGAGTGTAAATCCAGAAGATTAACTTAGCGATGGTTTATAGGATGACCTGACCTGGGAGGAAACTAGAATGCAGCCCAAAAGGATAATACTTCCTGGCAGAAAGTTTTGAGGGTCTACAGTAAAATATTGTACAGTGAGTAGGAATTTAAGAATTGTTAAATACAAGACTTGTCAACTGATTATAAATAGCAGGGGAAAGATACTGAAGTTTCAGGTACACCAAGGATGTCTCTCTGGGGTTTTAAATGGATGATTCAGAGGCCAGTTAACATGAATAGAAAAACACATTGGGATGAGAAGGGATCTTGGAGGGAGGTGATGTACTGGTTTAAGACATGCCGTATTTCAGGCTCTGGCAGAACAAGGAGATGGAAGATAGTAGATGAGCTTTTAGAAAACGAAAAGTTTAGAAGAGGTATTGAACAAGAAATAGAGGTTGGGACATCCACACAGAGACAGTAGTTAAAATGGTTCAGATAAGGACACCAATCTAGTGAATAGAAATAGCATTGTTTGAGAATCTCATCTGTTTTAAGGTGTGGTACAGGGAGGAAAATAAAATCTTAAACATCTATGAAGTTTATGAATTAACCTGGAAACTTTGTGATAGAGGAGCAGATTTCATAATTTTTTATTTGGGCATTAAAAAGAAAAATAATGAACCTGTATCCATCTTCTTTCTAATTCTATAAACTTTACAACCCATTGGCTTACTAACATTTCTGAAAGTGAACATCTGTGACTTCTTCATTTTTTAATTTCTGAGGCCATTTTATCCTTTCATTTGAAATTTACTGGACTAGTCAGATTAAGGAGAAGATAGTTGCCATATTATCTCAATTTTTAATAAATGTGAAGCAAGGCATTTCTGTTTTCCTATCTTAGTTTATTTGGTCTGTTTGCCCAAAAGAGGTAACTAATTCTTAATAGTGTATTGAATTATATGTTTAAACAGTTACTAATAATTTACTAGCAAAGCCCCAAGTAAGAATATTGGTTATTTAGCATTAATGGAATATTTGTCAAGCTTATTAATATTGAGCACAGTAGTAATCTTAAAAGCTGAAATTCCTAATAGTTGCCAAGACACTGATCTGGCAAAAGCTTGAAAGCAATTTTATTACACAATTTTATCATTCATAGCATTATGTGATAGTGATTTTTATTACTAATTAAATAAAAATGACTCCTTCATCAACATTTCTTTATTTCCAAACACATGGAAGTATGATTAGAATTATTCATTTCACAGGGACAGGTTTTGAGAGCATGGCTTGATATTACAAGAGGAAAAGAACCTTATACTAAAAAAGCACTAAGATATTTTGAAGAAGGATTACAAGATGGAAATGATATTTTTGCTCTGCTGGGTAAGGTGAGTTGGAGTTATGGTAAAATAATTTTTTTAAATGTATTTGTAATGAATCTGAAATACAACTAAATTAAGTAGCTCAAAAAGATAGTTTTCTTGTTATTTTCTACCAACTCAACTATAGGAGGGACTTGCATTTGTATAGGACAGTGAACAAACAAACTAGAAAAGTATTCCCTGCTAAATTCCTGAATTTGGGGCAGATTTAATTGTTTTTGTTGTTGCTGTTGGTGGTGGTGGTGGTTTCTGTATTACTGACTCACCAAACGTCTAAAGGTGTGTCTAATGCATGAGGCATTGCTCTGCATACAGGAGGTACCCTGAGCAAAAGAAAACTTCTTGCTTTTTTATGGAGCTTATGTTCTAGTGGTAGAGACAGACAATAAACAAAATAAGTGAGTGAATTACATAGTATATTAGAAAGTGATAAGTGCAATGGAAAATAAATAAGTCGGGGACAGATGGAGAAGTACAGCTAGGGTATAAACTTAAAATTTTAAATGATGTAGTCAGGGAAAGTGACATTTGAGCAAAGACTGGGCAGCTTGGGACACATTACAAATAGAGGAGATGCTTTAAGGCATGTTCAAGGCATTGCTTGAAGAGGCCTGGAGACCGAAGCAGAGTGAGTGAAGAGGAGAGAAGTCGAGGCTAGAGAGAAGGAAGGTGGGGGTCAGGGCAGGTGAGCCCAGGGGGAATGAGGTGAGGCCAGCTGATTCTGTAATGCCTTTGGCTTTGACTTTGAACCAGATAGATCGCAGCCAATGAAAAAAGAAATAATATGATCTGACTTACATGGGAGGGATGACCAAGTGGCAGAGACATAAGAAATCGTTAGTGGGTTCGAATGTTTAAATTCAGTTCCTTTCTTTAGTCCCATTGATGCCTTCTGAATGCCTTAAATTTAAAAAAAAAATTTTTTTTTGATTCAGCAAAAAGAAATTATGTTAGGAAAACACTATGTTAAATTAGCAGTAATTTGTGGAGGAGGGGTATAAAAAGAAAAAAAAGAGAGGAGTATTAGTGTGTTGGCCGTCATCAGTGTCCCTCCATCACTCTTGTCAGTTTCTGTGGGTAGTGAGCTTGGTCAAACGTTTGCTACCAGTATTCATGCTAACTAGTGCTCACACTAATTGGACTCAGGTTTTACCTAATGGCACTGCTAGAGGTCTGGGGAATTTAGCAAGTTTATGAAAAAGTTTTTCTTGATTATTTCTCCTCCCTGTTCCTTAAAGAGAAGATAGTTGTTAATCTTCTAAGGTAGGGCTATTTCAAGGGTTAATATAAGCAGCTTAGATTAGAAACGGACTCAAGTTTAATCCACATGATATAAACAAACAAGCCCAAATCACTAGTCTAATATGTAAGATTGGTTTAAATTCTTTTTCTGATAAAACCCATTCCTATTATGTATTTATTTTTCAGTTCATTCAGCAGGACGTTTACATTAGTCTAATTGCAAATGGGAATGATATGAACCAAGTACATAGCAAATTTAGTTTTGTTTAATATGATAAGCTGCATTCATCAGGGAGGTGATAATCTAAGGAAGTATTAGATATGGTCTTGCAGCATGATTTTGTTAATTTATATTACCAGCTATTTAGGCAGATTCCAAGGACATATGTATTTTTAAAAATTACCTGTGTTAATCTTTTTGCTATTATTGGTAACTACTGAGAAATTTAAATAATTTATTTTGACATACTGCATGGCATAGTCATACTTCCTTCAGTTATATGGCAATATAGTCTCAAACTGATTTCAGGAATATATTGCAGTTCTGCACATCTGTTGAGGCTGTATGCTCTTTTTGAGTTGAGATATTCCAGGACTAAATTTATTCTTAAAGGATATCTAAAAGCAAATATTTAAAAATCTGTCATATGATAAATATGCCTCATCATCTGTTCTTAAAACACTAGCTATATTTATAGCTTTACTTTTTTCTGACTACGAAAGTAATAACATGGACATTGTAAAAAAAAAAATTCTTAGAATACAGTAATATCTGAATTGAAAATAAATATCACTGTTGGGGATAATCAGTTCAGCTATTATATTGTAAATGTTGTTTCTTCATGTCAGTAAATACAGATCTGCAAATTTACATAATGACTTTTAATGGCCACCTTAAGTTTTATTGAATAGGTACACTATAACTTAATCCCTTGTCATTTTGGGTTGTTTTAATTTTTTTCTGTTATAAATCTGCCATAAATGTAATCTATATCCTTTTTTGTGTTCTTGTCTAATTATTTAAGATAATTCCTAGAAGTAAAAATGTTGGATAAGCTTAAACTTTATTTTGCTTATGCTTTAAAATTTTGTCTTCTTTAGCCTGAAAGTAATTTTTTTAAAAATGTACAGAATCTCTTAATTTTAGATGCTACTTGCAAATATCCTGGGAATATTTTCTGAAAAGTAATTCTTCTGTTGTAAATAGAAACATTTTATGGTGTTTCTAAAAATATTTTTAAAAATTCTAGCCTGTAATTATATTTCTCAGTTATTTAAAAGTAGATTTTGAAACAGTCACTTGTTATGTAAAATATTTTTATTCTGTGCTATTTAAAAATTTTATTTTGATAAAAACATTTTTTCTGATCATAAAAGAGATGACTTCCTTACAGAAGACGCAATAAACAGAAATACAGAAAATATTAAACACTAGTATTCTGCTTATTCCAGGATAACTGCTGTGAGAACATGTAGTATACATGATCACAGTTTTGATGTCACTTTTTCTTCATTAGGCACGATGCCTTGAGATGCGCCAGAACTACTCAGGTGCTCTGGAGACTGTGAACCAGATAATAATGAACTTTCCAAGTTTCCTTCCTGCTTTTGTGGAGAAAATGAAACTACAACTAGCCTTGCAGGATTGGGACCAGACGGTTGAGACAGCACAGAGGTGAAGTAAAAAAAGATGATAAGTATCTTTGGGTCTGATTATAATTGAGAAAAAATAAAATCTGTGTACTTTTTTATTGTAAGCTTTTTTTAATTTGATTTTTTTCAAACAATATAGAATTGAGGAAAACCTTAACATTGCATTTTTTTAAAAGTGAGTATTTTTAGTTTTATTTCACTGTATTTGATTTTAATTTAAAAAATTTTAACTGAAGTGTAGTCAATTTACAGTGAGTGTTGTGTTAGTTTCTGGTTGACAACATAGTGATTCATAAAAACTGAATTTATTGACTTACATAAATATCTGAGTGGCTATTCTAAGACAGACCCTCAAATGCAAAAAGACAAAAACATCCCTGACCTCATGAAGCTTCTATTCAAATGAGAGGGACTATGTAATAAGCAGAACCAGTAAAAAATTATGTGGTGCAGTTCTTTTTCAATAGTTTTCTTGGCTCCTCTTTAGCAGTTGACTATCAGAATAACAAGTTAAAAAAAGAAACTCTCTAAGAGATTGGGTTGAACTGCGTTAAATCTATAAATTATTTAGGGAGAATTTTTTTAACCCCAAATGAGTATTATCATTAGGCAGCTATTGGTGTGCAGCAAACAACCACAAATCTCAGGGCATGTGATAATAAGCACTCATTGCTCGTTTGGTGTGGGTCAACGATCTAGACCAGGCATGGATGGGGCTCTGCTTCAAGTTTCAGATCCAGCTGGGAGGGTGTGGCACCTTGTTGCAGTTTGGACTCTGCTATGAGTGTGTTCTTCCCTGGGCTCAAGCCAGCTACGCAGGAAGCTCTCCTTACGGTGACAGCAGAGGTGCAAGAGGACAAAGCAGAAATATGTGATGCCTCTGAAACAGGCTTGGCACACTGCCATTCCTGTCCACATCTCATTGGCCAAGAAAAATGTCCAAGTCTGTAGTTAGGGGGCAGTGAAGTACAGGCCAGCATGTGTAGGAGGAACAGCTCAGTTACCTGGCAGAAGGCGTGGATCTAGGAAGAGTGGAAAAGCTGGAGCTAATGATTCAATGTAGCACACCATGCTCAATAAGAAACCTACTGTCTTACCCCATTTGTTCAGTTCCTTTTCTGAATGCCTTTGAGTAAAGTTTTATAGGAATTTTTTGTAACTTTTGCATATTTCTTACTAAATTTGATTTCTGTTCCTATTATTAAAAGGATTTTTAATAGTATTTTCTAATTTGTTTTTATCACATTGGAATCTGTTTTAATCTTGTGAATTATATTAATAGATTTTTTAACATTCAGCCCATCTTTACATTCCTGGAAATCTTATAATAAATCTACATAGTCAAGGTGAATTATTCTTTTAATATACTGTTGGATATGGTTAGCTAATACTTTATTTAGGATTGCTGCAGAATTTAATGAGACCAGTAGACTATTCAGATCTTTCTTAAATATTAAAATTAAGATCCAGAGGTTTTTTGGTTTTAAATGAGATTGATCATTTTCATAAAGCAGGTGTCATTTTACTAATTAAAATTACTTATTTAGACAGTGGAATAGTCAGACCAGCAAGCCAACTTTTCAAGCCCTCAAATAAAAATACATAAGTTTATTTCAACATTAACTGAGGTGGGGTTTTTTTTTTTTTTTAGGTTAATTTTTCAAGATAATCAAAATGTGGAAGGACTCAGAATGCTGGCCCTTTACTATTTGTGTAGGGAGGGGGATTTAGAGAAGGTAAGTTGTATTATTTATATCTCCAGTATTAAATGTATATTTAGTTACACATACATGCACCTACATGAGAGCCTTGAAGTGCTCTTTAGAATGTATGACATGGTAGTTTTTAGTTGATTCCTAGAAATACACCTTAACAAAGAGGTAGGCTTCTTAAATCAACCAATAGAGCAAAAATATCATAGAGTTAAAACTACCCTTGGAAGCTTTTAAAATTATTGATTACAGCTTGTGCAGTTTCTATATAAAACTGATGTGCAGTAATATATGTGATTAATTAACAGGTGATACTGGATATGCAGAGAACATACAAAATATTCATAGTATTTTTACAATTTTATTGAGTTCACATGAGTTAAATGGGCTTAGGATGAAATTCCATTGGTCCTTATAAGGCACATGTTCCTCCAATAATGAACACATTGACTGTATACTGGGTTATGGAATGCCAAAATCCAGTCTGAAGTAAATAGTGTTGTAACAGGTAATACATTTAGTCTGTGTTCAGTCTGGTTAAATTGGTTAGTGAAGTACTTATTAAACACTTCAGTTAATTCTAGAAGAATCTTAGTAGGAACAGCTCTTCAGTAAATCTTCCAGGCATTGAAATTACTTCTGCTAAGTATCTTAATGATTTTTCTGTTCTAGAAAATATTTTAAATATAAACCAGGCTATATAGGTAATCCAAGGACTGATTTCATATAATATGAATATTTGTAAATATGTTATCATTCATCTCATCTGTGTCATGAATTAATTATTGAAGAGGGTGCTTGGCACATATAGTTAATTGAATATTATGGGTATCTTTACCCACCTAAAGATTTCCATTCAATAACAACTGCTTAACGCATTTTAAAATGCAATTATTTATAATTATTGAGCTTTTTGAGAAGGACCTTTTATATCTCTTGCAGCATGTAAGATTTCATTGGAAGAGGGGAAATTTATAAAACCAGAGATCTTTTTAAATAATATTTGTTAGTATACATGTTATGCATTATGTTCTTTCATTCTTAGTTTATTTTAAAATCATACGGGATACTTCTGTTTTAGGCTGCCACAAAGCTGGGAAACTTAGAAAATGCATTGGATGTCATGGAACCACAGAATGCTCAACTTTTTTATAGGATCACAATAGCCTTCAGCAGAACGGTAAGAGTGCTAACAGAGCTGTTACTTGTAGCTGGAAGTATGAAATAAGTCACAAAGGCTGAGGCAGCAAAAAGCATATGACCCAGAGTGAAAATACGGCATGTCTATAAATATGTGGTACATTCTTAGGAAAGGTAGTTCAGAGGAGATAGTTTCCAACTCTCAGAAGCCATCATGGAGGAAGTGACTGATTCTTGTGAATCCGTTAAGGATAGGGAAGTGTCTTCCAGACAAAGGAAGTGAGAAGTGGTTTCTTTTCATAGGATTTATGACTAGGGTTGTTCTTTGTATTTGTTTTGTGTTTTTAATACTGTTTTTAAAATGTTTTAAAGTGAGTAATAGAATATTTTGGTGGGGGAAATGGTTGCTATCTATTTTTTTATAGTAGTAAAGAAATAATTTTATTATGAACATCCAGTAAAAAGTAATCAGGAATGGAAAAGAAAAATATAGCAGAATTTAAAATGAATGTAAGAAATGAAAGGACTGAAAAGTTAGCTAAACTAGAAAAAAATAGGGAAAAAGCACACAAAGTAAGTAAAATAATTGTTAAAATAAAGTTGAAAGAAAATGATCAAGGATGTTAATTGTTAAATGACATGAATAAGCTGAATTCTCTTACTTGAAAACAAAGATTGTCGGATCATGTGAAAAAAGCAGATCCTTGCCCTAGTTTTTGATTCAATTCTGTATGTCTGTGAATATATGTATAATGCTATATATACATAAATATATATATATAAAACATTAAAGTGGTGATTTTCTTATCTAATTGTAAGACAATCATGAGGCAGTTTGAATAAGAGCTCCAAAAAATTGACTTTTGCAGTAGTATCATTAGAAGCAGTATGCTTGTCAAGATAGCTGTTTTTTAAAAGCACTACTCATTAGGATATTTAAGTTCTGATAGGGGATAAACTTGCTGCACTGTCTACATAGTAAATAGAGCAGTTTTGTTTCTTTGGTTATGAAATCATTTTATTTTTTTCCTACATTCTGCTTCTGTGAAATACAAATACTATATATTATGAAACTAAATCTTCCATCTGATTAGAAGTGTTAGAGTTCAGCTTAAATCTTTTGTTCTTTTTAGTGTGGACGTAGTGAACTTATTCTTCAAAAGACTCAAACATTGCTAGAAAAAGCTTTTAGTTTAACTCCTCAACAGTCAGAATTTGCCGCAGAACTTGGATACCAAAAGATTTTACAAGGAAATGTTAAAGAGGCATCGAAGTGGTATAAGACTGCCATGACACTAGATGAAACCAGTGTCTCTGCACTGATTGGTATGACAACTCTTTCTATGAAGGTTCCTCTTACAGATGCAAGTAATGATTGCTTTCAATACCTGTCATTAAGGAAGAAAAGACATATTTCGTGGCTTTCTACAATTAATCTATTCTCTATCTACAATAGAAAAAAATCATGTAACTTTAAAATTTTTACTTAAAAATTTTTGGAGAATAGTTTTTTATGAGAATTCCCATAAATTATGAATTCCTTAGTAACTGATTTTATATGGGTACAAAGCTACTCATTTTATTTCCTTTCACTCTTCTTTCTGTTTTTTTAATCTAAAACTATAATGTATTATGGCAAAAAATTGGTTAATTGTTTGTGTTAGCTTGAAGTGTACGTGCCTGAAATGATGTGGATTTTGACTGTTTTTGTCCATTTGGTTTTAGGACTTATCCAATGTCAGTTAATAGAAGGGCAGTTACAGGAAGCAGATCAGCAGCTGGAATTCCTTAGTGAAATTCAGCAGTCTATTGGAAAATCAGCGGTATGGTATTCTATTTTATCAGATGGTAGTTCCTAGCTACTATTTTTAAAATAAGAAATTTTATATGTCTTAATATTTAGTAATGATTTTAGAGGACTGATGTATACTAATTTTAATATGTAATTATATGTGTTAATTTATTTCCATGTAAAATTAGACTTACTTCTTCCACAAGATTCTAAAAATCCATCCAAGCTAATACTTTAAAGTTTGAACAAATACTGCACATAAGAGTGCTTCATATACATTTGAAATCTAAGTAGAAATAAATGGCTTTATGACTACATGGAGTAATTTATGAAAACTACTTACTTATTTTCTAGGAATTAACCTATTTACATGCAGTTCTTGCCATGAAGAAAAATAAAAGACAAGAAGAAGTTATTAACTTGTTAAATGATGTCCTAGACACTCATTTTTCACACTTAGAAGATTTACCTCTTGGCATACAGTACTTTGAGAAGTTAAATCCTGATTTCTTGCTAGAAATTGTTACAGAATATATGAATTTCTGTCCAATGCAGGTAAGTAATTCTGGGACTTATTTTCAGGGCTACATTTACATGATGTTTTGTAAAAGGTGCTAATAAAGTACCTTCCACATGTTAGACTATATCAGTATCTTAAAAGGAAGTATTTGTATCTATATTAGATAATTTTAATGAAAATATTTACCTTAATGACTGCTATCAACTAATAAGTATATTGATTTACAGATTGATTTGTAATTCATCAAATCTTAGACTTGAGTTTAAACAAATAGTAATTTGTTTAAAGACACCCACCTGGTTTGTAAATTCACTCCATAGCATCTTCATTCAGTGCCCTTCCACCTTGGGATGCACTCAAAGATGCAGTTCAGTAACTATGATTATTAGACTGTGTATCCTATATTAAGTCAGACTTGGCTTTGTGTTAAAAAAAAAAAAAAAAGATTCACCCATTTACTGGTCCTCCTGTCCTGCTCTCTGGAGTGACGTGGAGCAAGTCCAGTTACTTAGTCTAGGCAAGGATCATTCGTCATTCAGAAAACGGACTGTAGATTTTGGAAGTTAGTTTTCATGTTCCTCTAAACAGTTCCAGGTTTTCAACCATTTATTTTTTTATTACCAAGTTTGAGAACCCTGGTTGTGAGCCTGAGGATATTATTTATTTTGTCAGTGCCTCGTTAAGCTCACTATTCCAAATGTGGGTTTGGCCTTCAAGACTTTAGTTGGATCCTTTGCTCCCTAACTCTAGATGTCCATCCAGCTTTCTTTCTGTGAATCACATTATGTTATCGACTCTTACTGAATTAATAGTTAACTAAAGTCCTTAAATCTGTTATTCACTGTAATTTGGACCCAAGTGTAGGTACTCTGCATTTATCCCTATGAAATTTTATCTCCCCAGATTTATCCCATAATCCAGATTACCGTATCCTTTTGGATCCTGATTGTTATTTATTTGGACCTTTCTTGTCAAACATTATCTGCCTTATTTAGCTCTGAGTAGAACTGAGAATGGAACCCTCTGTTGTATTACCAGGGAGTTCATTCCAAGTTGATGTGGATCCATTAGTCAACATGCTTTATTACAGACAGTGAGCAGGTGACTTTATTATACTCAACTCACAGTTCAACACAGGGATATTATGACAGGTGCTATCAAATATTTCATTCCCAAAAGCGTAGCTTTTAGTATTCTCCCTGATTTATAGCTACAGTAACTGTGTTAATAAGGGAATGAGAATGATGACCTTTCCTTAAGGGAGCCCATGCTGCCTTTTGTTGACCATCATGTCCTTTTCCAGACTATCATAATCTATTTTTTTTTTCAACTAATCCCCCTGGAATCACACCTTGGGACTGGTCTTAGTCTCTGTAGTCATGACCTATTTTCAGTTGCTCATGAGTTGGAAAACACTATTCAGTACTCATGCAATATTCAGAATTCATTCAGCACATGCTTGTAGAGCACCCAGCACACTGTTCAGAGCTGGGCAAATGGTTGTGTAAAGACAAACTACAACGCTTGCCCTCCTGAAGTGTGAATACTAGTAGGATACAGACAGTATAACCAAGTCAGTCTTATAGTATGTTAGAAGATCACAGAAGAAAATAACAAGTATGTCGGGGTTGGTGATTTTAGATAAGGTGGACTGGGTAGGCCTCACTGAGGTGGTAAAGTTTGAACCAAAACTTGAAGGTCATGTGGAAATATGGTGGAGAATGTTTTAGGCAAAGGGAAGGCATTGTGCAGTGGCCCAAAGGGACACAAGGAGAGGAAAGTGGCCAGGACAGAGGAGGCAGGGAACAGTCACCGCAAGGTCACAGCCCAAAAGACCAATTGTAACTTCTCTGGTCTTACATTTTTCCATAATATATCAGCATGATAGAATCAAACCAGCATTTGAAATGCTGTTTTCATGGGGAAATATCAGAAAGGCAGGCTTGTCTTTCCAACTCTGTTTCTACTTCTTTAGCCCTTTTATATATGATTTTTTTAATCAAACTGATAGTGTCTTAGAGATTGTCCATGTAAATCCTGGGGCTTTTTTTCTTACCCATGACTCACTGAAACTACAGTAAAAATGCAGGTTATTATCAATAAGTAATTCTTAGCAAGTGGCAAAGAACATTTTCAGAACCTCACTCTGTTACCTATACTTTCATTATTTTCTGTTACACTAAAAAAAAAATAAGTATATTTTAAGAATATACTCTGTATCCATTACTGGGTGTAGAAGTTTTAAAAGTCTGATCTTCAAGACACATAAAGGCCCTGAGCCTGATGAAGGAGGCAACTAAATATGAAACCACTATAGAGCTGTATGACAGAGAATGCTGAATTTTATTACATAGATTACAAGTGCGGTAGAAATTTCAAGAAGTTAAAGTATTCCAGGCACCAGTGGTTATATACACTGAAAATCCTCTTGCGCATATATTTTTTGTGCCTCAACTAAGTGAGAAGATGCCACACTTTCTCATGAGTAACGATGGCTCCGTGTAGGCGTGATGGGCCGGACTCCAGTTAATAACCTGTATGCGGAGTGTAAAGGGGTTGAGGGGAGGATTGTACCTCAGATGAGGGAAAGCATTCGTAAGGCAAAGCTGGGAGAGTGAACATTTTATACGTAAACTGTAATATCCCACATCTGAGTTGTGAGTGGATAGCTATGGATAAAGGCTGGGTGAGTAGACAGCCATTAAAATGATGAAAACATGGTCTAGTACTGCTTTAGTTGTCATGTTCACTATTGATAAAAAGAGGAAAAACTGTGCAGGCCTGCAACATGGCAGGCAGAAACGCGGGGACAGTGAAGTCTGAGATGTGAGTGTGTTCTACCTTCACATTTTTATTAGGATGACAGATCTGAATTCCCTAGAAACTGACCTTCCAGTATTCTAGGGGGTGTGAAAGTTACTGAATTGAGTAAATCACAAAGCAGGTTTAGAGTTAGAACTGACATTGCCTTGACTCTCAATTCCAGCAAGAAACTCTACCTCTTGTTATCTTTCCTTTGAACAGATATATCTCCGTGATAAAAGTTTTTGAACAGATATGTACATATACACCTTTCATATGTTACCAAATTATAACTGTATATTAATTTCACAGTTAATTTTTACTGAGCAAAAGCCATTATTTATATAGTCTGTTCATAGATCCCAGGGAGATAAATTCGTTACAGTAAAGATTGGACAGTGAATAGAATAAGAAAAATTTTAGAAAAATAGGTGGTTTTGCTCTTCACATTACAAGTAATACCTGTTTATTCTTAGCTAAATACTATTATAAACTAATAAAATGATCTGTTGATTTGTTTAGCCTGCAAGTCCTGGGCAGCCTCTTTCTCCACTTCTCAGACGTTGCACCTCAATCCTGGAAACTATAGTAAGAACTGTACCAGGTCTTTTGCAAGCTGTCTTCTTAATAGCAAAAGTGAAATATTTGTCAGGTAAGGTATACGTTAAAAGCTTAAAATAACCTTTATATTCTGATGTTGATAAAAAAAAAGTATAAACCAACTGAGCACTCCACATACATGAAGAATAGTCACAGAGAATGCACATTTTACATGTGCACAGTTAAGTAATTTTTATCCAGAATGAAACTGCATAACTTTATTATTTCATTCTTAAAAAAAAGTACTATAAACTTTGGTGATTCAGGTGAATTTCTGGGGTAATACAGTTCTACTACTTAAAAAAAATTCATCAAATAGTAGTGGGGCCTGGCAATAATAATTTATAGTCTTGAATCTTCCCTTTGAACAGATCATAATCCATCATTGTTGACTCACCAGCATCACCAAATGTGATATTTACCAGGCTTCAGGCCCTTAAGAAATTTACTGATTGATTCTTATTTAGTTTCTGTGATTGGTTATGTATAGCTTTAAAAAATAACCTCAGTTATAACCTTAGCTTTTTAGGACACAAATGTATGTATGACTCTATACATAAAAATAGACCATCATACGATGTTTATATATGTACCTTTGCTGGCTGACTGCTGTACAGGGTGAATTAAGTTCGTAAAGTCCTCAAGGGCAGAGACTAATTTAAAGGTATTCATTCTAACGAACAGTTAATTCTTGTGCATAATAGAAAGAGTTAAGAGATTGACTTTACTATTTTTTTTGGATCTCAGTTTTAACTGTTTTAAAAAAGAACCAAATGATTTCAAAAGCTTATTTCACCTCTGAAATACTCTAGTTGTAAGAAGTGACTCTCTGGTACCTTCTTCTGATTGAGTTCTGTTGAACCACATGCTATTTCTACCTCCTGCCCAGTTGGAATGGATATCACCTACTAGGTGATCCAACTGGGACTTTGAGTTCTGTGATTAATTTATTAAACACTCATTTATTTTGAATTTTGATGTAAATTAGTCTCAATATAGTAATACTTAATTGCCAAAGTCTCTTAGAATGAAAGTCTTGTATGTTAAGTCCATGATTTGAAAAGAGCGGCCTGAAATAATTTGAAACACTGCTGGCATGTGTGCAAATAGCAGTATTTTTGCTAAATTGCCATCTGCAGTGACTTCTGGCACCAGCTACCTGGAGTTGGACCATACTTCGCAGGTTAAGGGCACTATCCTCCATCAGGCTGCCCTCACTTCAGACAGCGGCCACAAGTTCAGGGGTTCCCATTGCCACCTGCACTTCTGACTAGCTGGCTACAAATTTAAGGGTTCTTATGACCCTCTTCAGGTTTGATAACTCACTAGAAAGACTCACAGATCTCAGGAAAGCACTGTATTTAGGATGAGAGTGCTATAATAGCAAAGGATATTAATCTGGACCAGCAAAAGGAAGAGATGCACAGGATGAAGTCTGGGGGGTCCCAGAGGTGAAGCTGCTTACATATTCTGGAGAGCAAGCCTTTGTCGGTTTCGTCTTTTGCAAAAATTTTCTCCCTTGCTGTAGGTTGTCGTTTTGTTTTGCTTATGGTTTCCTTTTCTGTGCAAAAGCTTGTAAGTTTAATTAGGTCCCATTTGCTTATTCTTTTATTTCTCTTGCTTGGGTAGACTGCCTTAGGAGAACATTGTTGAGATGTATGTGAGATAATGTTTTGCCTGTGTTTTCTTCTAGGAAGTTTATTGTATCTTATATTTAAGTCTTTGATCCATTTTGAGTTTATTTTTGTGTATGGTATAAGGGAGTGTTCTAGCTTCATTGATTTACATGCTGCATCCAGTTTTCCCAACACCATTTGCTGAAGAGACTGTCTTTATTCCATTGTATATTCTTTCTTGCCTCCTTTGTTGAAGATTAATTGACCAAAATTTTGTGGGTTCATTTTTGGGCTCTCTATTCTGTTCCATTGGTCCATATG